AGTGTCTACGTATGCAAAGTTTTGGGAAATTGTAGACGGCCATTTTACAGAAGAGTTATGGTTTCAACAGGTTGGATGAAACACAACTTTTTATAAACTGTGTGATGCTGTGAGAGCAAATACAAGCCATCATCCAGTTTCCACTTCCTGTCTTCTTCTTTGTGGTTTTCACCAGTAGTAACATCTGGCTGTTGATCATGTTACTTGTAATGAGAAATGTTTTTCAATACGGCTGAAAACTCACCTCATTGTAGTGCAAAAACCTTTTATTGAAAATCGTGAGTTTTTTTCAAAATTGTCTTGATTCCATAGAGTGGATTTATTTTCCTAATTTCAATTACGCAATTTCACTGTTAACGCAAACTTAGTTAGTTTTAATAAATATGCAAAAGACATGTTTTAGTCAAAGTTACATACTGTAGCATTAAGGATAATTCTTCCATTCTGATCAAGCTTACTTGTCAGCTTTTCGGAGTGCTACGTTTGTCCACGATGGCTTGCTGCTGTTGTTGTTGTTGTTCTCCTCGGGAAGTTTCTTGGAGATGAAAGCTGCTGCTGTTGCTCTCGTCTTATCGTCGTACACTTTAGCATTTTTACTCGCCTTGCTACCCGCAGCAGTTGTTTTAGCTGCGCCCCCTTTATCCACATCTTTAACATTGACAACCATGGTTACAGTCTGACCCGGCAACACGTCCTGCCCCCTGCCGTTCGTGGTCTGGCCTTTATTCACAGTTGTACTAAAAACTGACGTCTTTTTCTCCTCGTGGTTGGCGCTGTCATCCGATCGTAAAAAGTTCATCTTTGACTCCCACGTTTTGGCCGCGGTGACGGAGGTCCGGGGTTCGGCCGTTGGGTTGGTGCTGACAGCCGTCGTAAAGGTAGGCGGTTTGGACACAGGTACCTTCAGGGTTTCCTTAACAACAGAAGCAGGAGCTGAGACAGGTGAAGCAGAAAACGAGCTGGAGCCGTTCGGAGGAGAGCTGGGCTTCTCCGTTGCCCACGTCGGCCCAAGTCTGGACGGTGTTTTAGCTGGAGCCACTGTGGCGGGTTTAACGGGTTCGGGTTGGGGACTAAATTTGGAAATGTGGGCGTTTGTGGGAAGATCGCGAAACGGGGAGCTCGTGTTCGTCGAAAGGGACCTGAAATGCAGGAAAGAAAACGTGGTTTTAATAGATTATATTTTTTTGAACTGGTCGTACAGAATTCTTCTGTTTTTACTTTTGTGGTCACAAATAAATGCTTCAGAGCATCAAATTTTAACATCAAAAAATGCGAACTAGCGTGGTAAAAAAAAAAAAAAAAACCTCTACACTTTGCTTCATACAGATCGGTTCAGATCGCCTGGACCTTCGGCTACTGAGAAGCAATTACTTCCTGCAGGCATGGACTCTGTTGAAGTTTTAAACTACTGGATAATAATGTTCCCAATCACTAAGTCCAATTACTTCTGAAGTCAAACTAACACAGCATTTCAAGAGAGAATAGTTCAAACATACTTGAGGTTTGCAGTCTGGACAATGATCCAGACAGCTCCACCTCTGAATGGCACAAAATAAAAGAAACAAATGAATGTTTTCAACTGGCCTAGTCAAAGACTGAACTTAAATTCAATGAAGACATTAAGGTTGAATTAAAATAAGTTTGTAGCATCGTTCTTTGCTAAAAACAAATATGAGAAAATTCCTGTGGTTTTCAAACCGAAACAAGGAACTTCAACTTCAATGTGTCTTCTGAGTCCAATCAAATATATCTGGCACTGCAGATAATTAACTATTTTAAAGAATATTCCTAATCTACACTTAAATTGCACAGCAACTCAGCCTCATTTACAGACTTCCAAATTATTTCTTCCATTTCATCATGCTTTATATTATTATGTCATATTATTTATTGCTATTCAAATGAATTTCAGGAATCCATTCTCCCATAAGTGTCCTTACCTCGCACAGTTCCTGTGATAGAGCTTTCCCTCCACTAGGTGTCTCTGCACCAGGTGAACGTGTTTGTTACATGACACACATTTGTTGCTTAAAGTTCCTGCTTGAGATTTCTCAACATGATGCTCCTGAAAGACAAAGAAGACACCAGTTAATGAGGAACTTCTTTAAGACAGCAATGAGGACATCTACTTTTTGGGAAATTAATTTTTGTTCTAGATGACAATTAGGCTTGTCGCAATAAATTGCATGATAAAACAAGCTCAATCATTTCCATCTGTATGATTTATCATTTCTCTCTTTCTAATAAAAACTGGATGTTAAAAGTCTTCAGTCTGGTACTAGTCATTTTCTTCAAAGTCAAATTTGTTTACAGAGGCGTCATAACTTATTTTTTAGTTGTTGTTTCTGTTGTTTTGTTTATTTAGGATATTTCAAAATGTCTTCCAGTTTCAGTGTTAAATGTTCATCAGAATGTAAAGTTCATTGATCTCTGAAAATGCATTGATATTACGCCATTATTACCTCTGTATTACATGAAAATGGTCAACAATATTAACATTCATCGCGGTAATGACTGGGACAATTTATCGTCTGTCAAAATTGGTTATTGTGACAGGCCTTCTGATGACAACATGAAGAATCTTTCATCTGGAGTCGTTTATGTCATTGTTACAATAGATTTCACTTACAATTTTGTGAGTGAATACTTCTCAAAATAAGCGAAAAAAAAAAAAAAATCATCCAGCCTGCGAGTTCCAAATGCAGCCTGAAAGTGTCTTTACCTGCGTTGAATTTCTGATCTGTTTAGGCGACGGAGACGGTTTTGTAACGTTGGCAGAGCGGGGAGGACTGTTCTCCCTGCTGGGTTTAGATCCTGGAAACACCTTGGCGGTCACCGCCTGGTTCTTCTTCCCTGAAGGTTCGTCGTTGGTGCCCTCTGCCGGACGCTTTATACCCGCCATGCCGCCAACTGAACGCAGACGTAAACGAATTACATGAGAAAAGCCAGACAAAAACGTAGATTGAGGTAATGAAGCAGGGTTAGAACTCACTAGGGGAGCGTCCATGGAAGTAGTTGTAGTACTGAGAGACGTACGTCAAGATACTGAGGCGGTCAGGAACCCTGAGAGCCACCATGTCTTCCGCGTCCAGCAGAGCCGGAATGCCCAGTTGTTCTTCTGCAACTTTAAAGGCCTGAAAATGGGAAAAAAAAAAAAAAAAAAAAATGTTTAATCAACAAAACATAAAAAACGACGTCATTTTTTGTAGCTAAACAAAACCAGACAACTGATAAAGTAAAAAAGAGGAAGCTGTCTGACTTTGTGTAAGGGTTTTTGGCTTTCTTAGGCCTCGGTGGGGCAAAAAATATTGAATATTATAAGTTTAAATATCGGTAGAAAAGTGATCATGCTTTCTCATCTTCAGAAATTTGTTCTTGCACGCCTGGTATTGAAAACATCTCAGAGCCTGTTTTTTCACAGCTCATGCAGAACGAAAGGCGGCGAGGAGCAGTTTGGCAACTCGTTGACTCTCACTCAGCAGTTCATTGGAAACGAAACAAGCTGAGGCCTGCCAGTGACCACCAGATACACGACTTAATCAGAAACCAGATCATTAGCAGAGCCTTTCAAAACTCACTTTGTCGTTGACTTGCCCTGCCTCTTTCTAAAAATGCTCAGTGGAGTCAGTCTTTCACCAAACTGGTTACAGAGTTTCTGGAAAAACCTTGCAATGAATCCGTTTCACTCCGAGTATAGCAGACGTGTCTCATAATGCATACCATTCTTCACATCCAGTTTTTTTCCCTCATTCATAATTAAACAAATAAATGCAGCTGGAATCAGATTGGCAAAACTGTACATTTTAATGTGGGCAGAGTGACTCAACAAAACACACACCTTTGTTTCATCATCCATTTGTCGTCCAGATATCATCCAGATTTGGACTGGACTATATGCCTGAAAAACGTATCACGATAACATAAAGCTCAAAACAGTCAAGTTTACGTAATGCTGCCCCTTTAAAAAATTGTCAGCGATGCGACAGTACACCAGGATTAGCAGTGAGTCAGCTAAAATTCAATCAACTGGAGAAGTTAAATCAGGCAACAATGTTTCAATAGGTACACAACAAAACACAAAGTTAAGTGACTAAAAAAAAAAACAACAGACTTTTTCTACTGGTCCAAAACAAAGAGTAAAGATATCTTTGGACAAGAGAATCTGTGCCACACATCCATCCATCCTCCAATGCTGAGCCAGACTCCCTATTTATAAACCCAAACAATTCTTCTAGGAATTTTCTGCTAAGTAGGTTCCAAAGTGAGTGAAATGACAGGAAAAGTATCAAACAGGATAAGAGCTGTTGAAGCAGTCTAAGAGCTACAGTGCTTCCTTTATTATCTCCCTTTGTGTACAAAACATTGGGCCATCCTTTATGACACGCAGTAGATCATTTCTTCCCACAATTGTTCTCAGCTTGGACTTCCAAAACAAAACCATTATTGTGCTGCAACAGCACTTGCTGGGACTCACCCAAATGTAATGAAAAACAAGACAGAATATTTATGATACGAACTTGTTAGCCAGTGCTAAAAAACCTTAGAACATCTTACCAGCTTGTTGTTGTCGTAGACATCTTCCTTCTTCAGGGAATCAAAATTGCTGCAACAGAGAAATTAAAAAAAAAAAAAAAGGAGAAGAAGAAAGAAACATGAGCTCAAACTTTCCCAGCTACCTTTATTAGTTTTGGAGCAGTGACATGTGTTCTTTAGTCATGCATAGTTCCCTCTCTTCACCATGACATGAAAGTGCGAGTGAGTCAGACTAGATGTATGTCTGCTCTGTCACTGATCCCATGCATCCAAAACTGAAACCAACACATGGCTCAATCTACAAAAATCACACGGCCCGTTGTTGAGCAACTCCAGCAGCGCATTTAACCACCGCTTAGAGCTCCAGAAACACGACTAAAATTAAAAAGTGCTGCAATTCTGCGGTCTGGCAGCTGGTGGAGGCTGGGATGGAGGACACACTGGGTGCAGTTTTTATCTCCGTTTGATACGACGCTGCCGTTAAAGAAGCACGTCAAGGAAGGAAAAACAAAGGTGGAAGCCGGCCAAGGTTCAATATGTGATAAGTAAAGGGTTTGTAAAAGCTAAGTAATTAATCCGAGAATAAGCTCATATCAAGTTTACTCGTATCCTGGCGATACTCTGGCAATACCGAGGACGATATTTACATATTTCTGCCCTAATAAAAGCTGCTTGTTTTGAAAAATGTCTTCAGAATCAAGAGCTGACTTTTTTTCCCCTTCTTCTCCAAAGATAAACATGAGAAAGGAATGCGAGAGAGAGACACTACAGAAGTTACATTTAGCTTCCAATAAGGCAGATTTATAAATAAATCTTCTCCCTGCTTTCTGGAGCTGTTGAGAAATGATCCTGCATTTCTCAACCCCTTCTTGTACATTTCACAGAAGCTTTTACTTTGTCTAAAAAGCAACTTTTACAGATGAAGCTCTGATAAGAACAGACAATGGAACTGTAAAGTTGAGTAAAATGGGAAGAAATGACTTATTCTTACACACAGGTTTTAAAAAAAACCCAACATATAATCTGATCATTTTGCTGACAAAGTTTAACACCAAGTTTATCCTCAAATCTTCATTTCTATTCTGAACAGCATCAAGAGTTCTTGTGTATCTAAAGATCTACGTTTTCATGACAAGGAAGACCAACAAAAAAACATTATTTTACTACAGATTTGTCAATAACTGAAAAGTATTACTATGTACTGTACAGTATATGAACTCAATACTTGACTGGTCCTCGTTTTGAACAAATGACTCTTTAAGTAGTGGCCACAACTGCAGTCTACACCATTTTGATCTCCCTGAATCCCGAGTTTTACTTCACCATACTTTCTTCCTTCCACTCAACTTTCCAATAATATGCTTAGATGCAGCAGTCTGGCCTTTGCTTCTTATCAACTACCCATCAGTGGTTTAGTTTTGGTTTCATGCGTATTCAAATTGACTGACAATTACAAACAGAAATAATCCAAACCATCAAAATGAATAAAAATAGACTTATATCACTGTAAAGAATTTAAGTTTGGCATATTTCAGTGTTTGAATCGAATTACTGAAATCAGCTTTTCAGTTATATTCTACTGATGTGCATTTTTGTTAACCATTTAACATTTGTAATATCTAACTATTACTCTCAAAAAGTTATACTGATGGTGAAAGTTTAATCGGCTCTTTCACCAGATTAGTCCCGTTGAACCATGAGCTCCACTGAGTCCACGGCTCAACTTTTTCTCCAAACTTCTCCTCCTCAGACCCACACGAATGAGGTTTGTTCTCTCTTCTTATTGAATCCATCATAAAACTGAATGAAAATAAAACCGCTGATAGAGCCTGAGCAGTAAAAATATAATAAAACAAAGCGTAAACAGATCCTCCCTTGCGTTTTAAAGCTCCGGACTCACACGGCAGACCTCGTCGCGGTTCCTGCTTTCACAGCCGCTATACTTACATCAGGTCGGGTCTGTGTTTGTGGATGAGGGCGCAGAAAGCCAAGCCGTCCCTGAAGGACGTGGTCATGTTGGTGATGGACACATCCCGGTAGCCCTCACACTGGATCCGGCACCACTGCTGCAGAGCCTTCACGGCCGACATCCCAGACCTCAGAGCCCGCACAGAGTCCGCACGGAGCCCGCAGATCGGCGGTGGAAGTCCCGGAGCTCCTCCTCGCTCACTCCTCCGCTTCCCCCGCCTCTCTCCCTCTCTCTCTTCCCGGCGAACTTCAGGGAACTTTCCGCGGCCCCACCGACACGCTGGATCTAACAAGAGGCTGACTCAGACAAGCGTGTCGTTTGGGAATCACCCTGTTCTCCCTCAGCTGATACAGTGGAAATAACCAGGTTGTGACACCTGTGGAAGGTCGGGTCTGACGTGGTGTGGGTGGAGCTCCACGGAGCTTCTTTAGGTGTTTTTTGCGTGGGCCAGTCCCGAAGTTGAAAACACAGAAATCATACAAATCATTTCAAGATTAAATGCATAATTCGGATTTTCTTTTCAAATAAAACTCCTTGTGCTGGTACATGGAATACAGCAGGGGCGGAGCAAGGTTGCATGGGGCCGACAGTGGCGCCACCAAGGGGGTGAAGGGTTGGGAGGGGGCAGAGGTGTACAGGCCATCCCATATAAATGTAATTTAAAGCTGATGTATGTAACTTTTATTTTTTTTAAAAAATAAAAACATGTTTTTTACATGTTTGTTAATACTTTCACTATCTAGTGACAAAATAATATGAGACAGATAATCTGTAATAAAATTCAGCTCCTCCACCTTCTCCCTGCTGCTTTGTAGTCTGAAGAAGTGCACCGCTCCTGACCAAAAGCAGTCAATCAGAGCAAAGAGGAGGGTCTTAACGCTATCAATCAACCTTGTGAACACGCTGCGGAATGCACTAATGGTGGAGAAACAGCTCACTGTTACAAAAAAACGTTTATCTGCCAACATCGAAGTAGCACACACTGGCATGATTGACAGCGCTAAGACCCTCCTCCTGGCTCTGATTGTTTTTTTTTTCTTTCTAATTAGCAGTAAGAGAAGGCAGATTTTTTCACACATTATCTGTCTCATACTATCCTGTCTCAACAAATATGTAATTTTTTTTAATAAAAGTTACATCAAATATAAACCCACTCAGACGGACAGTCTTATTAGTTTAATTGTATTATGAACTGATGAGCACAGGCTTCAAAAACTTGCAACGTCTGTTTTATTTCAAATTAATCTATCTTTTTTCTCCCTCTGTTGTTCGTAGTGCATTTTCAATATTTCATTGTTGGTTCTGCCCTCAAATGACAATAGGGTCATGTAATTAAATATTTTTAAAAATAGGAGGGTTACACTATTTTAAAATGATAAATTACAAGAAATTTGTTGTTTTGAGGTGGGAATCATAAAGCCTGGGTGTCAGTCAGTCCCGCAGAAAATTATATATCAGAGTTGAAAAGATGTGACAATGATGGACTGAAAAGCATCCACATATACCTCTTATTTCACATGCTGGCTCTGGTCTGCCGTTTATCTCAATATATGAGAATGTTCCCAATTAATTTTTTTTAAATTAACATCTTCCTGCTCTTAGTTTGTAGTCATCTTACATGCCTCACAGAAATCTATTATTAGCTATCAAGGTTAACTCATGTGCACAAAACTTTATAATATGCATTGTGCTAGTATTTTTCTAGCCCTGGGATAAAAAAGTGAAAACAGTTAATCGGGTGTGGTTGAGCGGGTGAGATCCAGCTTGTCCGGTCCTGCTCAGGTGGGTGTGTTAAAGGCGGTGGGCGGCGTCGGCTCGCTAAAGTCACCTGACACCTTCTGTGTTCATCAGAGTAACAACAAAAAGGAGGAAGAGGCTTTGTTTAGGTAATTCAAACATGTGAATACCTGCAACCTTAGCACCTTCTCCACAGTTCTCCTCATCTGCCCACTTCTTAAGTCAGCAAAATGTCGTGAACGTCAGTCCAGTGAGGGATTATTGTTAATCAATAACAGAGGAAATGTTACAGTGGTGCAGACCGGACCACAGAGTTCATACTTTGTAAAACATCACAAGCGCCTCAAGTTATTTAAAAGGCTGGCCGCTTCTATTTTTCTCAACACATCCAACCTTCAAAAATTTCAGTTGCTTAATCTCATGTAGCCTTTATGTCTCAGGTAACACAGTAAATGTAAAACATTAATACTTTTTTTACTAAATGGTGGCTCCAGTTCCATAAGTTGACCTTATTTGCTGCGATCTTGATCGGATTTCATGTCAATTAAATATAATTTGGTAAAAACAAACAAACAAACAAAAGGCTTACGTCAACAAATTCCTGTTTTGAAATGGCTGGCTAGTCAAAACTTTTGCTAATTGACTGTTAAAGCACATTATTACTATGAGGAAGAGTGTACAGAATCTAGGCTGACTGACAGGAAATATCTGCATGACTGAACTTAAACCGGTTCCTGACAAGCTACAGAAATATACATGAACTTTATGAAGATGGCTCAATTTTCCTTTGTCAAACTTTCAGAAGTTATGTCCTCCTTTACGAATCATCTCACTGTAAGTAAATTAATTAAAATGACAATGCTAGAAGAGTAAAGAACCACTATGTAAGTTTAACAATTTCTAAATTACATTTTTTAGATTAACTTTCTAAAGGCGCCAACTTTAGTTTTAACAATATTTTTTATTCACATGATGGCCTAAATATTTGAGCAGTTAAAGCATTTAAAACGAATTATAAGAAACCGGAAATTCAGGTTTTGCAGTTGCCTGACCTTAAAACTTTATGAGCTGAATTTCGGTGCACTATATTTTGAATATGATCTAATTGGAGTGTATTTCCTGAAATTCTAACGTATATATAAAAAAAAACTAAACTGAACTACTGTCTGATGAATTGCTACTTGACTAATTTTAATGCCCAATTCCTTTTAAAAGTGCAGATATGACGCTCACTTTGTCACAAATTGTTGCATTTCCTAAGGTCAATCTTGAAAGCAAACGTCTCAGACATTAATAGAAATGTAGCAGGTTTACTGTATCGAAGCCCAACTTTTTGTTGTGTCTTCAGACTCTTTCTTTTCATCGCAGCTGATGATATAGGGTATCATCTTTAATATGTTCATACTCTCTTAAAAAAAACAAATATTGTTCCCAAATTCTGTAGTTTCCTAGACTCCATGCATCGACCAATCACGTCACGTCTTGGAGTTCTCGAACTTTCCACGGGGAAAAAAAAACGTCAACTGAAGCGACCGCCATTGCAGGACGTCCGTAGAGCCGGAAGTAAGAAGGTAAAATCGTTTTTTTATTTGATAAATTGTAAATAAAGTAACGTAGAATTTCTTAATAAGGATATTTATTTATGCTGTTTAGTTACTAAGTCGGTCTGTTGTGACTAATACTTCCTTGACATCGGTCAGTGATGGTTAGCTTAGGATAGGGCAGACATTTTAATTAGTGATTAGAAAAACATTATCACTTTGTGAGAGATTAGAGAATGGAGAATTCATACCATCTAATAAACTCATGGAAAACTGTGACAATTTTAGGCAGACATAATAAAAAAAAAATCACCAGTGTATAAACCAATCAGGATAAATACTGTGGGGGCTTCATTGTTCCTGCATTCAAATTCAAAAATACTTTATTAATCCCAAAGGGAAATTAAACTCACTTTCTAGTGACTGAGATTTCTTGCAATGTTACTGATGTATTTGCAAGTTTTTATTTTATTCTGGTTTTCTTATTTTCTTTTTTTTCTGGTGCATTCTATCACAAATGATAATGAATAATTTTAGGTTTCAAAATTGTCAGTTTCAGCTTTGGATAAAAGCTAAAAGTACTTTTTAAAAGCATGAACATAAAACCCTGGACAAAGTTATGCCAGGGGAGTGTTTTTTTGTTTTGTTTTGTTTTGTTTTTTCTCCTGAATTAAGATGAATTATTTAGCCTTGGAGAATTTGCAAAAAGCAAGAGTTTCACCTTGTAAGAGACAGTCAGGGAAGAATGTGAAATTCTTTAGGAGAGGCATTCATGAACTGAAAATCTTCTCTCTAGCTTTTAAGTACTTTCTCAAAAAAAAAAGTATTTTCAGCCTAGGGGCCATGTACAAAGTGTTGCATATTTTTTAAGTTTGTGACAGGAGAAAAACTTTTGCTTTCAAACTTAATAAATGAAAAAAAAAGTTCATAATGTGCACAACTCCAGTTGTCCTGATTTGCCCTTCTGCAATGAGCAGAAATAAAGTTTTCAGTGGACAGACTCTATGGGACTGGAGCTGTCTCCTACGCAGCATCTAAATGGCAGGAAAAGTAGGCGAGTTGCTAGTAAACATAAGTAGATTTTCCACTGTTCATTTTAGCTCAGGTCAGATGTGTTTGTGTAAATACCAAAGCTGATCAGGGATACTTGTCCATTTAAAGCACAAACCTCATCACTGATCCCATTTCAATTGACTTTAAAAAGTTTTGTGTCCAAGGAGACCCAGTAGATTGCATAGAGTCACTGACTAGTGACGATTGCTTGCATTGTGTCATTGACTTTATAGCAATCGCTCATACCGAGCATGCATGTAGCAGCAGTGAAGAGAAAAACTCCCCTTTAACAGGAAGAACGAACAGAACCAGAACCTATAGCACAGTACAAGCAACTGGGGGTTTGAGAAGAAACAGATGAACCGATGTAGGAGTATGTTGTATGTTAATGAAGAGTCAAAAAGCAGAACAATTAGTTGATTGCAGCCTATTCTCAGTGGATGGCCTCCTCCAGGAAGGAGTATGATGGAGCTTGTGTGAGGAGGAAATTTTTAAATTCTATTCTCACCGACTGTATGAATACATTTTCTCATATTTGATCAGTTTATACACAGCCTATTACACATCGATGTTCAGCAGAAGTGGAAAAGCACCTGTAGCCTTACCACCTGTTATTACATAAGTAGATCCAGTCTTTCAGCACAGAGTGGAAAAACACGAAAAGAGGAGAGATATGTAGCAGCCATGTGTTCCTTGGTCAAAAACCTAACAAGAACAAGCTGTGTTTGACAATGAGGGTTAACAGTTTAAAACTTGGGCTCTTAAAGTCAACATAATGCACTTGGGTGGCGATTGTAAACCATTCACACACACAGACCATTGTAGACCATTCACACACACAGATTAGAGGCAACAGGGATACTTTAACATGGGAGGAGCATGGGGTTTTGTTTTAGCCCTCAGAATCTGGGTAATTAAGCAAAACTCCTCTTTCTTGTTTTTCCTCAGCAGTTTGCCTTGAGTATGTTGAAACATATTGGTATTTTTTGGTAGTCTTCAACAGACAGCAGTGCAAGCCAGGAAACGAGATAAACAG